CCCCCCCCCCCACAGCATTTACAGGTCATCACCCAGAGTCCACAGTCTACACTGGGGCTCGCTCTTGGTGGGTTTGCACAAGTGGGTAATGACATGTGTCCACCGTTAGAGGGCCCCTCGGGGTATGTTGCTGTCCTAAAATCCCTCGGTGCTCCACTTGCTCACCCCTGCTCTCCAAACCTGGGTAACACTGGTGCTTTCACTTAAGTCTTCAAAGTGGAACCTTTTCTAGAATGTCTTCTAGCTGGGATCGTATAGTTTGTGGCCTCCTCACGTTCCCTTCTATCACTTAGTGATAGTCTAAGTGTAAGTCTCCTTCGTCGGGGCTCGGAGCTCATTTCCTTTTTAGCACTGAGTAATAACTCCATCGTTTGGAGGGACCATGCCTGATTTATCCGTTCATCCGCTGAGGGTCACCTGGATTGCTTCCAGCTTCCGGCAACTACGAATAAAGCTGCTGTGAGCATCCATGTGCAGACATCCCCTCCTTGGGTTAAATGCCATGGAGCACGGTTGCCGGATCTGGTGGTGAGAGGGTGTTTCCCACCAGCCACGCGTGAGCGTTCCCACCACTCCACATCCTCGCCAGCACTGGGTGTCATCAGGATTCTGGAGTGTGGCCGTCCTTCTAGGTGTGTAGTGGTGCCATTGATGTTTTCGCTGCATTTCCTCGATGACCCATGACGGGGACCGTCTCTTCTTTGCCGTCTCTCACCTTCTTTGGTGAGATGTCTGTTAAGGGATTTCGCCCATTTTGTAAATTGGGTTGGTTGTTTTCTTATTGTTGACTGGTGAGAGTTCTTTGTATATTTTGGAGACCAGTCCTTTATTGGACGTGTCTCTTGCACATATTTCCTCCCGTCTGTGGCTCACCTTCTCAGGCTCTTGACACGGTCTCTCGCAAAGCAGAAGTTCACCAGTTCTTTCTTTCATGGGTCGTGACTTTTGTGTTCTATTAGAAAATTATCGGGGCACCTGGGTGGCTCAGTCAGTTAAGCATCCGACTTCGGCTCAGGTCATGATCTTGCGGTTTGTGGGTTCGAGCCCCGTGTCGGGCTCTGTGCTGACAGCCAGCTCAGAGCCTGGAGCCTGTTTCAGATTGTGTGTCTCCCTCTCTCTCTGAACCTCCCCTGCTCATGTTGTCTCTTTCTCAGAAATAAATAAAACATTAAAAAAATTTTTTTTTAATTATCACCGAACCCAAGATGGTCTAGATTTTCTTCTGCGGGATCTTCCAGAAGTGTTCTAGTTTCACATGTTACATTCAGGTCTGTGGTCCACTCTGAGTGGGTGTGGGGGCGGAGCTCTCTGGAGTCCCCATTTTGCACGTGGACGCCCTTCCAGCACCATCTTTTTTCCATTGTGTTGGCTTTGCTCCTTTGTCAAAGGTTGGTTGACCATATTGTTGGGGTCTGTGTCTCTGCTCTCTGTCGTGTTCCATGGATCTGTCTGTTCTTTGACTGATGATACAGCCTTGACTTCCAGCTCCCTAACATATCTTGAAGTCATTAGTGTCAGTCTTCCAACTCTGTGCTTTCTCCTTTGATGTCATGTTGGCTGCTATTGGTCTTTTGCCTCCAAATACACTCCAGAACCAGTTTGTCAATATCCACAGAATAACTTGCTGGAATTTTTGTGGAAATCGTATTGAATCTAGAGATCAAGTAGAGAAGAACTGACATCTTGACAAAATTGAGCCCTCCTAGCTGTGAAGTGGGATTTCTCCATTTATTCAGTTGTTGTGTGTTCTTTCAAAGTTTTATAGTTCTCCTCGTCAGTAGATCTTATACATAATTATATTGGATTTATCCCTAGGCATTCCACTTTTGGGGCTGCTAACCTAAATTGTTTTGTTCTTTCAGTTACAATTGCGATTGTCCTCGGCTGGTGGATGGGGAAGGGATTGGCTGGAACACTAAACTTGTTTGCTGCCATGTTCTCTCACCCCATTCACTGTTGGAGTGTTAGATGCAGCCCTAGTGGCCCTGGTGTGGACAAGGCTGAGGCCACAGGACTCCTGTGGGTCCGCAGCTTCGAGGGAACCGAGTTCCCCATGGGAGGCCTTTTCATACATGGTAGATGTTTGCTCTCAGGAATGTCGGGGAGGGAATTTCGGAGTCTGGTGGAAGCCTGGGCTTGAAATCCCTCCTTTCAACCTTGTATCTGTTGAATACTTTATAGGTGTGGCTCCAAGATGGAGGGCAGTGCAACGTACAGCCCTTTTCTCATTCCTTCCTCTGTGCAGTGTGCACTGTTCTTCCGCGCGGTAACTCCCCATCATGGGGCCTGTTCCCGCCCAGCTAACATTCATCTCTCTTGTTTCACAATGGATGATTGTGTGTTGAACTCTTTTCAGACTTATCCTTGAGGGATAAGTTCTGTGTGGCCAGAACACAGATGACAAAGTTTGCCCCAAACAGTGAGTGTGTTAGAATGTGAAATCCCAGGACACGGAACGTGGCCGTGTCAATCCTGGGTTCGAGTCCAGGCTCTGCCACTGAGGGTTTCAACCTCCAGCCGTGCACTCAGCCACGCGGACCTCAGTGTAAGGATGATAATAATCTCTCACCACAACATGGCGGCAAAGACCAAGTGACTCTGACATTGAAGGCCGCCTTGGGAACTATGACACGGCCCCTCATGGGGTTGTTGTACACTTTCCACTGTGTTTTCATGGGAAGTGCTATTCCCGGCCCAGGAGAAGTGGCCTTTCCATGCACGGGGCGCCGCTGTGATGTCTCCGGGTGCAGCTTTGCACTTGGTTCAGCTTTGCACTCCGGCCCACATGCCTCTGGTCTCTGCATGTGGCTTCGTATCTTCTCACGACAGGCCACCTGGCATGTTCCTCCGTACACTATGTGGGTATCAAACATTTCCGTAGCACACCTCCAGTTAATAAGTGGGTCAGTGGATCAGTTCGTCGTAATTGAGAACCGTAATAGCCCTTATTTTTAGATGTTAAAGCATTTTGTTTGGGCGCCTGCGCGGCTCCGTCAGGTAAGCATCTGAGTCTTGGTTTTGGCTCGGTCATGATCTCACCGTTTCATGGGTTTGAACCCCGCCGAGTCTCCTTGTCTCTCTGCCCATCCCCCTCATGTTCTCTCTCTCTCTCTCTCAAATATTTACAGAAGTTTTTTCTCCTATTGTGGCTTATCGCTTTTAAGTCTGCTTTAGAACCTCATTAAATAATATATGGGGGTATCAGCGATACGGAACAGATTGCTTTGTAAAGGGTGGCCGTTCCCAGGACTTGAGGTGGACCTGGAGGGGTTCTGTGAGCATCTGAGCTGAGTGTTTACACCAGGTGGCACGGAGCCCGTGTTCTTTTGAAATCTCATGTTTCTAAGACACACGGAGGGGTTCCCTTTCCACGCAGCTCCCTTCATGGGCGACAAGACTGGGAGCGGAATGAGGACACAGGTATGAGGCTGGAGTGAGGACAGAGCGGCAGGGAGCTCCCCGAGACCCACAGGGCAGGAGACTGTGGCAGGAAGCGGTCAGACTGTCCCACTGGCGATCACCTCAAGGAAGTGGATTTATTCTTTTTTCTTAAATTTGCATTTGTAAATGTTCATTTTATTTTTGAGAGTAAGAGAGAGAGAGGAGTGCAAGCAGAGGAGGGGCAGAGACAGAGGGAGACACAGAAGCCAAAGCAGGCTCTGAGCTGTCAGCACAGAGCCCGACGTGGGGCTCGAACCCACGAACCGCGAGATTGTGACTTGAGCCGAAGTCAGATGCTCAACCGACCGAGCCCCCCAAGCGCCCCTATCTTTTCTTAAATTTTGTGAGTGTCCTAATCCAGCTTCAGGACTGGTAGCAGTTCTCGAAAGTCCCATCTGAAGTCTTCTTCCCGCGGAGCTGAGGGAGCCGCGCTCGGGGGTGTTAGCAGGGGCGGCCTGGTGAGGATGCACAGGTCCCTGGTGCAGCTCCCTCCTTCAGGCCCAGGCCTCCTGCGATGTTCTGGCCTCGGTGACTGTTGGGGTTTTGGTCCTTCTCTTTCCGGGTGCTGTTGGAGAGGCACTGGTCCATCCCGAGGGGGCGCTAGCGGGCCCCTGGCTCGTGTCCCAGAACCATGAGGCTGTGTTCCTAACTCGCCCTGTCGTGCCATTTGTTTTCTTTCTAAAAGAAGGCTGAGTTCTGTGAGTGGAACGGAGGGAAGACACGGAAGAGAGAGGGGAGGGGAACTGCCCCAAGGCCTGATTCCCATGCACCCTGGACCTTTTTCCGTCTCAAGTCGCATAAGAAGGTCTCCGTGTTTTGCACAGGCTGTGCGTCTCATTTTTTTAGCGGCTGCGAAATGGTCCGCCTGGCGAGTTGGCTCCTTGTGGCTGCCCGTCCTGCTGTTTCCTTGTTTGGCGTGTTTCTGGCCGCCCGGCACAGACCGTGCTTGGGAGGTACCTTTGTGCACTACGCCTGCTCTTCTGGATCTGGCACGGCTGTTCCCAGGAACGGCCGGGCTGGGGGAAGCCGTGTGTCCCGAGGCTTTGGTCCCCATGGGTCTGACGGGAGTGACCCCACTGCAGGCGGTCACCCCTGCCCAGAGCGCTAGTCCCCAGGGGCCTGGTCCAAGGGACAATCCCCCTCCTCTGCTGGAAGGCAGGGGCCCCAGGGACCCAGAGCTCCGAGCTGTCCCCGGATGTGACACCTCCCTTCTCTGCTTTGGGGATGGGCAACCCGACTCTGCCTTCAGAGTCCCCAACCCCGACTGCTCATCAAAAGGCCATTTGTGATGCTACAAGGGAGCGGGCGTGTGGGAGTGAGGGGGCTGGTGGTGGCGGCCTGTCCCGGCTCAGAGCCAGGCTGTGCCAACTTTGTGGGATTTCTCTGGAGTTAGATCAGAATTTCCTTTTTTCTTTCTTTTGGAACCGCATTCCAGGGACAGGAATGAAATCAAAGGCAGAATGTCCCTCCACCCGCCCCCCTCCCCTGAAAATCACACTGTGGTAAATTTTCCAGGCATCCATCCAGCCCCTGCTCTCACAAACACACACACACACACACACACACACACACACACACACACACGCTTTTTCTTTTACACGCCTGACTGTAGCTTGGATGTGGCTTTTAGTATGCTTTCCCTGTTAACCTCTGCCGTGTGTGTGGTTTTCAGAAACGGCCAGGGTGCGAGCCGAGGGTTTGGGTATGTAACTCGAGTGGTGGGTACGCGGCGGGGCTCAGCTCGCATGTGACTTCTCGCCTCAATGCAACACGAGGAGAAGGAAACATCTCCTTGTGCTGAGAAATCCTCTCTTTCTGGCTTCCCGGCGAACCACATCGCGTCGGCCGTGGCCACCGCTGGCTGCCGTCACGTCATGCTGGTCATGAGAGGGTGGGGAGGTCGGCCTACGTTGCCATGGAAGGTTTCCTTGCACAGCCTTCTCGGAGGTGGAACCCCGTCTGGGTCAGTGAGTGCAGCCCTGCGCCCCGAGCCTCCTGGGAGGTTCTGCCCAGTGACCGTCCTCAGGTCTGCTCTGGTTCACGCCCGCGTCTCGCGGAAGTCATTCGGTCAGAGCGTGGCAGGCGTGCAGCACTGGGCAGCTGCACCTGTGAGGACCCTGTTGACTCACGGTGGCTCTCAGGGTCAGGATGGTGGGGCTGGTGGAGGCCAGCGGGGTGCGGCTCCCATCTCCGCCTGCCCCTGAGCGCCCCCTCCTGGTGAGAACATGCAGGGGCCGGCGTGGGAATCTGAAGGGGCGTCTGCTGTCGGGACCAGCACGTGGCCTTGTCTGCAAGCATGTCCGTGGCTGGGCACAGTCCCACACGGGAAGGTCCACGGCTCACCCTCACAGAACATGTCTGGTACCCGGCAGGTTCCGCTAGACGCCTCCCTGGCCATCACAAAGCTTGGGTGGCACGGGGGCTTAGATGCCCAGGGGCTGCGAGGTTTCCGGCACCTTCCTGGCATCTCCAGGCCCTTCACACGGGACGGGGTACAGACCGGCCGAAATGGTCTCTGTAACGTGTATGAGCGTCCTCAGGACCCAGCAGCGCCAGCGGAACTCGGGGACACAGAAGCACTTGTGTTCCGTGGGATGGGGACTTCTCTCTGACGATGCCCAATGGCACGGGGCACATCTGGCCACGTTGGGTGAAGCCTCCGCTCTGCTTGGTGGGGGTGGGAGTGAGCGGACGGCTTGGTGAGCTTCGTGGAGAAACATTAGTGTCTCGGAGGAAATGCCCACTGACCGTGTCAGAGGATCCTTGGGGGGACACTCTGGCGGAAGACCCCACCCGGGAAGTGTTCTGGAACCTTCCTCCTTCATTCTCGGCCTGTTCCGGAGACCCTGATGATTGTATTTGGGTGGCTTTTCCCCGCTACGTTGGTGAGAGCCTGGCTGACAGGCTTGTAGCGCCCGGCAACCCGGGACCCAGGGCTCAGCTTTGTTTCCCCGATGCGCTCGGTGGTGTGAACCGGGTCTTCCTCCCTCACGGAAGCTCTGAGGCTTTCTGAGGCCCCAGAGCCTCTCAGACTTTAAAAATCAGCTGTGAATTACAGCATCTGGAGGCAGTGGGCGGCCAGCAGTTCACCACCTGCGGACACTCACACGGACCCTGGCGTCTGACAGGGCTGGGGCGCGGTTGGGTGTGTGCGGCCTTGCACACCCAGACTGTTGTGAGTCACGCACATTGCACAGACGCCTCCCTCTGGTGCGCTTCCTGATCTGCACTAAGGCTGGGGAGGAGTCCGCAGCCCCCCGGGGACGCCAGGAGACTCCTGGGATGTGACGTGGAGGCAGGTGTGTCCCTGGTCCCTCACTCTCCACGCCTTCAGAATCGGGGGCAAAGGGCTTTGCGCCAGGGGCGCCCGGCAGGGGTCGCGTTAACACACATTTCCCCCTTGTGCCTCGCAGCCTGTAACGTGTGGTACCTGAACTCGGTGGAGATGGAGTCCCTCACCGGCCACCAAGCCGTCCAGAAGGCCCTAAGCCTCACGCTGGTCCAGCAGCCGCCTCCCTTGTGCACGGTCGTGCACTTCAAGGTGTCTGCCCAGGGCATCACCCTGACGGACAATCAGAGGAAGTGAGTGTCCCCAGGCACCTTGCGGTCAGACCTCCTGCCAGCCCACGCGGCCCCTGTGGACACGCCCGCTGTCCGTGGTTCCTTGTCCTCCCGTACCTCCCGGGAGCTGCTCACGAACCCCTGATGTTCAGCCCAAAGGTGTTCTTTTTAGGACTCGGTAAAATTGTTTAAAAAAAAAAAAAAAAAGAGAAAGAGACAATGGACCTTTGAGTATCACACACATGTGTATAATTTTATTTAAAAAAATTTTTTTAAGTTTATTTGAGAGGGAAACAGCACAAGTGAGCGAGGGAGGGGCAGACAGAGAGGGAGAACGAGAACCCCAAACAGGCTCCGCAGTGTCAGCACAGAGCCTGAAACAGGGCTTGAACCCACGAACTGTGAGATCAGGATCTGAGCTGAAATCAATAGTCCAATGCTTAACCAGCTGAGCCCCCAGGCGCCCCACCTGTATAACGTTGAAACACAAACATCTTTTAAGTTGATTCTGTAAAAGCACTCAGGGACCGTGGCAGAGCCCACCCTTACCAGGTGGTTGTCCTGCCTCAGGTGACCCTGCACTCAGGTGACCTCGCTAGATGCCATTTCAGTATCCAGGTAATTATAATAACGATCAGGTCTACGTAAGGGTAGCACAGACCAGTAATGATCATTCTTCGTAATCTGGACGTTCTGTGGAGTGTGATAATGTTATCTGTTTGGATGATAGACAGAATCTCGGTGGCCTTCATCACCGCTGTCACCAAGTGGTTTCTACCCAGCAGGGGTCCCGGCGGGAAAGAGGAGCGAGTCAGGTGCACAGACAGCGGCGTGCCCGGGCCTCCCCTCAGTGGGGCCTTTGACCTCAGGATCGAAGGCATCTCAGAGGCACTTCCCGTGTACTTGTTATGGAAACAGACTGGTGTGATTAGTAAGAGAGCAGACAGGCGGCAGGACATCTTGGGGCTCAGGGCCAGGCCCCTGACGCCGGCCAGCGGGGCAGTGCCTTCCCCAGCGCAGCCCCGACCCGCCCTTGGTGCCCGCTTGTGGCCGGTCCCAGAGTTCACAGTGCGCCCCGGTGCTTCCTCGTACCGGAGCCAGGCTCCCGTCCTTGCGGACACTCTGTCCCCAGCAAGGAACCACAGCTGGAGACGGCGGCTGGCTGGCGGGCCGAGCACAGGAAGGCCTGGCTCGCCGGTATCTCCCGCCAGGGCTCCCGGGTTCGGTCCCCACCTTCAGGCAGCCGGCACTTGCCCAGCGTAGCTCTGCTGAGAGCTTTCCTCTCGCCGAGCACGAGCTCTCCAGCGCCCACTCTCTGCATTTCTGATGGGCGTGCATGTCTCTCCTCTCTGAGACCAGTAATAAAACTGCCTTCTGGGGGTGGGGGGCTGCAAATGTGCATCACCACCACCCTAACGCCCTGTGCCGGGACCCTGTCCTCTCCGCCCTGACCCCACAGACTCTTCTTCCGGAGGCACTACCCTGTGAGCAGTGTGATTTTCTGCGCGCTGGATCCGCAGGACAGGAAGTAAGAGACCCCCGTTTGTATCAAGCGGTACTAAGCTTCCTTTGCCCGATAAGTTGGTAAGGAAACTAACATAACTCTTCCTTTTCTTTTGATCTGCAAGGTGGATCACGGACGGCCCCTGCTCGCGGTAAGATCCCGGGGCGTCGGTGCCTTCCTTCCCCAGAGTACATCCTCTCACCGGGTTTCCAAACATGCTTTCTCATCAGGAGAGGACTGAGTCAGGCCAGTGGGTTAGGTTGTGCTGTAAACGGAAATGAAAGCATCCCTTTCCATGGGGGGAGGGGGGACACCTGCTCAGGGTGTGCTTTTCTTTGAAGGCACAGCACAGACCAGATCGCACAGCTTTTTGGCTGCTCAGAGTGGCACTAGCTGCGTGCGTGTCAAGGTCAGGGTGGAAGGAAGGACTTCCCGCATGGGAGCGTGAACCACACGGTGGTCAGTTTTCCCAGACACAGGGAGCGCATGGTTTTGGCCCGCCCTCTCCTGGTGCTCCCAGAACTTTCCGGAGCTGTCCACACCCCCCAGGCCGGCTTCCTCCGTGTAACCTCAGCTTGACGGCCAGGAACGTGACCTCACAGGTCTGGCTCTGGGGTCCCCATCTCCCAGTCCTGTTTGTCTCAGGGTCTGACCCCAGGCGGGGCCCGGGCTGCCCCCACTTGGGCACGCAGGGCTGACGGGCTCGTGGCCGCGTGGAATGTGCGACCTCAGCAGGGTTACTCGAGCTGAGCCCTCTTGTAGCTTGGAAACTGCTAAATGGGAACAAAAAAAAATTCTTCATTTTTCGAAGAAAGAGAAGGAGTCTGCCTGGGAAACAGACAGTAGAAGTCACTGTGTGAACTTGAGGGCTCATGAGAGGGCCCACAAACGGCTTCAGTTTGTCTAAGAAGAATGATTAGACGTGCTACTTTTCAGTCCTCAGTAGTGCGCTGTTTGTGACTGGGCCGTAGGGGGCTGGAGAGGGGAGCCCTGACCCCCAAGGGTGCGAGCGCGCCCCTCACTGCCCCGGGGCCCCTCAGGGTCTGTGCCTCCACGTGACCTGATCGAGGAGAGAGCAAGCCACTTGCCCCCGTCCCCGAGGACCCTGGGTTTCCTCTGGGAGACCCCAGTCCATGTGCTGGGTGGGGCTCAGGAGCCCGTCCTGTCCAGCGTCTGCAGGATTCTGGCCAGGAATGGACCAGGGCGGTGGCCAGCCACCTACCTGCTTCCTCCACAAGGTTTGGGAGGTGGACACGTGTGGGCAGGTGTGGACAGGTATCAGGCAGGTGTAGACAGGTGTGAGCGATGTGGACAGGTATCGAGCAGGTGTAGACAGGTGTGGGAAGGTGTGAGCAGATGGGGACAGGTGTAAGTAGGTGTGAACAGTGTCGGGCAGGTGTGGGCAAGTTTGGGCAGGTAGGGACAGGTGTCAGGTAGGTGTGGGCAGATGGGGACAGTTGGGGACATGTGACAGCAGGTGTGAGCAGGTGGGGACAATTGTAGACAGGTGACCAGCAGGTGAGGACAGGTGTGGGCAGGTGGGGACAAGTGTAGACAGGTGATGGGCAGGTGTGAGCAGGTGGGGACAGGTGTTGGGCAGGTGTGGGCAGGTGGGGACATGTGACAGCAGGTGGGGACAGGTGTGGGCAGGTAGGGACAGGTGATGGGCAGGTAGGGACAGGTGTGGGCAGGTGGGGACAGGTGATGGGCAGGTGGGGACAGGTGTGGGCAGCNTGTTGGGCAGGTGTGGGCAGGTGGGGACATGTGACAGCAGGTGGGGACAGGTGTGGGCAGGTAGGGACAGGTGATGGGCAGGTGGGGACAGGTGTGGGCAGGTGGGGACAGGTGATGGGCAGGTGGGGACAGGTGTGGGCAGGTGGGGACAGGTGATGGGCAGGTGGGGACAGGTGTGGGCAGGTAGGGACAGGTGATGGGCAGGTGGGGACAGGTGTGGGCAGGTGGGGACAGGTGGGGACATGTGACGGCTGGTGTGGACAGGTGACCGGCAGGTGGGGACAGGTGTTTGGCAGGTGTGAGTAGATGGGGACAGGTGGGGACGTGACGGCAGGTGGGGACAGGTGTGGGCAGATAGGGACAGGTGGGGACATGTGACGGCTGGTGTGGACAGGTGACCGGCAGGTGGGGACATGTGACGGCAGGTGGGGACGGGTGTTGGGCTGGGGGCAGCAGGAGTGCCAGGTAGCAGCAGCGGCAGGGTGGCAGGAAGCAGGTGGAGGGTCACATGCACGCCTGGGCCCCTGGACTCTGGCGCTCTGACCTCTCCTCTCCTTTGCAGAGTCTTCGGGTTCGTGGCCCGGAAGCAGGGCAGCGCCACAGACAATGTGTGCCACCTATTTGCAGAGCACGACCCGGAGCAGCCCGCCAGCGCCATCGTCAACTTTGTGTCAAAGGTCATGATCGGCTCCCCCAAGAAGATCTGAGCCAAGAGGGGCCGGGGCAGCGCCGCGTGGGCTGGCGAGCCTGACCCTGCAGCCCCGGGAGGGGGAGGCATTCCTCATCCGGCTTTACAGATTTGGGGACACAGCCCCGCTGCCTCCTGGCCGTCCCTGAGAGACTGCCCCCCACAGCTTCCTGCAGCGCCCACCCGGGCTCTGCTCCGTCGCAGGGGACACATGTGTGCCTTGCACGCCGGCATTTGTGGGAAGGACGACGCCCGGCCCCTCGGCAGTGGCCCTGAGTGAGTGGGGGGGCATCGCCGGCGCGGAGGCCCTGTCCGTCCCGCGCCCCGGGGGGGCACATCCCTCCTCCACAACAGATGCCAGCTGAGAAGGTGGCGTGTGTTTGACGAAGGTTCGTGCAGCCCGGGCCCTTCCAGAACTCTGGGGAGGGGACAGCACGCTGGCTGTGAGGACCACGCAGGTCACCTGGTCCCTCGCCAGAGGGGCACCGTAACGCCAGAGAGCGTCAGCCCGGCGCGTGGCAGCCCAGCCTCCTGCTCCCACGCCGGGACCTAGCGGCGCACTGGCCATGAGGGGAGAAGGAAGACGGATGGGAAATGCCGTGTTGTGTAATTTATATTCTACTTATGCCAAATTATTTATGATGACACTTTCCTATTGCTGGAGGGGACAGGGCCCCATCGCTGCAGGCTGCGGGCTGAGCCCTGGTGGGTGCACCCGCGATCGGGGGCCTCAACCACCTCCAGCCTGACGGTCAACGTTGCGTGTCCAGGCTGCGGGTGACGTCCTTTCTGTGGGGGAAGGTTCTGGAGGGTGGGTCCCATTCGGGTTTAGACTCACCCCCGTGTGAGCTGCCGGCCACCTGTCCTGCCTTTGGGGCCCCCGCTGGGACCCTGTGTTTCTAGTGTCCTGAGCAGAGGGGAGGAGGAGGAGGAAGACGCGAGGCTCAGACCTTCCAGGCTGGGGGCCGCTCCTCTGCACCGCCCTGGAGACCGAATTGGGTGTGCCGTTCATGCCGGGAGTCCTGCACCTCAGTCTTTGGCGTGAGGCGCCTCTCGGCCCTGGAACTGCCCTCCTGCCTGGCTTTCCAAAGTCCACACCAGCTCTTGGGGCCCCAGGGGTCACCGATGGCCACCCCAGGAGTTGGGAGCGTGCCTTGTGAAGCCTCTGTCATAAGTGGGCCAGAGACCAACGTCACCGCGTGCAGCCGGAACGCGCAAGTCCCTGTGGGCGCGAGGCAGGCAGACGTGCTCCCTGGCTGTTTCCTATCGAACCAAACACAAGTGCCTCATTTCTGTGCCAAATGTTTGCCTTGGTCTTTGCGGACCTTCTCCACCAACGGGTGCAGGGGCAGGCGTAGGGGAGTGTGCGGGCATCTCCCAGAGCCCCCGGTGACACCTCCCAGGCCGCTGGTACCTCCGCTTTCCCTTCGCAGCAGAAATGTGGCCAAGGAGACCTCAGCCTGAGATGGCTTCTGCCCCGTGTGACCCAGAGACGGCGGCCGGGGTCCACGTCCTCCCGACGAAGGAAGAGAGGGCTCGTTCAGACATAGCGCGAGGGCGGGTATGGGATTCGGGAGCACAGGCTGCGGGTGACTGAGGCATTGGGGCCTCCCGTGTCCAGAACATTCCAGAAGCCACACCTGCTTGCTTTTTGAACGGACCTGCTGGCTGCGGTTTCTCCTTCAAGGGGTCAGGGCGTCAGGAAGTTCACTCCCTCTCCAGAGCCGAGGGAGGCGGCCTCCCGGGTTCTGGTGAGCAGGTGTGACACATGCAGTTCTGAATCCATGAACTCGGGGCTCAGACCTGGGGGAGCCCTGCCCCACCCTGGGGTCGCTCCTGGGAAGGGTCCATCCCAGCTCCTGGCCTCCGGGCGCCCACAGGCACAGGGGTCCTGTCCTGGGAGGTCGCCGAGGCCTGCCCCCCCACGGGGTCGTAGCCAGGGTCCTATTAACCTGCTCATTAACCGTGTGCTGCATCCCCCAGTGCTAACCTGTAACCACGTTAAGTCACACCGAATTTAAGGGTCTCCACGTGGATCCCCGGCGTCCGAGACCTCACGTCTCCTCCTCTGCCTTACTTATTAGTGGGTATTTTTACTTTTCTTATATTGTAAAGAATATATCCAGTATGTAAATGAATGTTCTATAAACCTTTGTATAGTCATTTTCTCTGCTTTTCAAATACCATCTCTATTCAGAGTATAATAAAATTATAAACACAGGAACGCGTCGGTGAGGCAGGCATTCCTTGCGGCGGGTGAAAGTGTGCGTGTGCACATCTCTTGGCCCATGTGTGTGTGCATAGGTGTGTGCACGTGTGTGTGGGAGTTTGAGGTGGATTTTTTGGTGGGTCATTGGATTCCGTGATAAATTCACATTTTGCCCTTAGGAACACATTTTGAGATTTATGCCCAGAGACATTTGATAAATTATATTTGAAGATCCCAAGAATTTACTCCTAATGTGTGGCATTGCTCACATTTTCTGTCAGAGCAGACACTGATGTGTGTTGATGTCCAGCCCCCCAAGGGACTTTTCCCAGCCTCTACAGAGCTGGGGCTGAACGTGAACTTGAAGTCTGGTGGGTTTGCCTGTTGCTTCAATAATAGGTGCGGGTCACATCCAGCACCCCTCTCCTCAAACACCCCCCGCCGGGTGGGGGCCCATCATGCTGGCTTTTGCCTTCGTGGGTCTGGGCCCCCTTCCCTGGTTGACGTCCCTCCTGACGTAGATGATGGGGACACAGGACCCGTGGACCCTCACTCTCTACGTCCCGAAAGCCTGGAGCTGCTGTCGCCCAGGCCCCGGTGGGGGGACGGTCACTGGGCTGCACCAGACACGGCCTGCCATTCCCACTGCAGGCTGGGGTGCAGGTGAGGTCGCTATCATCATTCGTGTGAACACCACGACTGCTTCGGACCCAGCCAGGAGCGCAACGAGGTGTCGTGTCCGACAGGAGGTGTGGGGGGCAGGGGCTGGGCCCCCCAGGAGCACAGCTGGCATTTGTCACCGTGGCCTGGAGTGTGCCCTGTGCAGGGGGTGAGCTCGCTGTGCGTCACGCAGGGGCTGCTGCTGGCGGACGTACTGGCGCTGGGCGTCTGGGTCCTGCCCCTGGGGACCCTGGGTCCGCTGAAGACGGCGTCAGAGGCGTCGGGGTCCCGCCCCCGCAGGAGCCGGGATCTATTGAAGATGGGCGCCTGCTCTGCCTGCCGGGGGCCCTGGATCTCCTGGAGGTGGGCGCCCCTCGTCCTGCCCACAAGGGACTTCTCACAACCATCCTCTGTCATGGTTGCTCGTTGCCGACAGGTAAGTGTGATCACCGGGGTCGTGGGCTGAACTTCCCTGGGCCTCAGGGTCCCAGTTCACACAGCAGACTCAAAGTTGGAGTTTCCAGGTGGACTTGGGGCCACGGGCACATGCAGGGGAGGGACTGGCTGTCCCCAGACACATGTGGGTACAAGGCTGGGAACGAGGAAAGGATCCAGGAAGAAATGGCCTTGACCCCCAAAGCCCTTTGCCTTGGGAGGTGCCAGGAAAAGGCTTCCGCCACCACAGGTGAGCTGGCCCAAGACCTCTGTCCCCGTGGATCTGGACACCGTGGTGGTGGAGGACAGCAGGAGGAGGCCATGCCCCCCCCAGGAAGCGCAGTCTGTCTCCCACTATCCTGGGGTCCACAGAACGGCTTGGCCACGGAAGCCTCCCTGCGCCACAGCTCCACTGCCCTCTCCCACAGACACCCTCAGCATCAGGGGACCACACAGACCAAAGCACTGTGGCAACATGGTGACGATTGAGCCGCCGTCCGTGTGGGCACAGCCCAGCGCAGGCCGGGACCCAGGGCCACATCTGCGACCGGCCACTGCCTGCTGACCGATCAGAGGTTAGTGGGACCCAAAGGCTCCTAACATAAGTGCCCAAAGGTCCCGGCGATGGTAGAAAACCACCCAAACCACCCGTATAGCAGGAACCGGGAAACTGAGGCCAGGAGACAAGAGTCCCTGTCCCTGACAATGGGGTGGATCCGAGGCTAGAACTCGCCCTGAGGACGAGAAGCAACGGAGAGGCTCCAGCACCTGCGAGTCGTCCTCACACAAGTGGAGACACAAAAGCCCGGCAAAGAAACAAGCGATGGAAAAGAAGCAGAGAGAAGTTTCCATTACAGAACAGAAAGGTGCAAAACAGAACTCGCTCGAGGCAGTAGTGGAGGGAGGCACCAGGAGAGGGGCCCTGCCCTCCAGGGTGAGTGAGGGAGTCTGGCCCCCCCCCCCCCCAAGAAGTGGGCAGCCTCTGGGACCCGTGGGGACAGTCACGACCCTACTGCAGTGTCCTCGAGTCCCGGAAGGGGAGCAGGAGAGGGGGGCTACGGAGTAGTCGAGGCAGCCACCAAAGACCCCAAATCCACGAAGACCCGGCCTATAGATTCAAGACAGACGACAGCCACAAAAATCTGTGCAATCATCTGCTGCGGGTTCCCCAGTCAGGGAGCCGCCGTGACCTCACCGTTCGTGGGTTCGAGCGCCGTGTCGGGCTCTGCGCTGACAGCACGGAGTCTGCTTGGGACTCACTCTCTGCCCCTCCCCTACTCACGCTCTGTCTCTCAGAAATAAATAAATGTAAAACTAAATTTTTTAACATGCCTGAACTGAGTTCACTGGCCACAGGACAGAGCTTGGCGGAGGAGAGCCACACGACCCAGCCACGTGCTGCTTACACGACCCTTCAGATTCCGTGGCCGCAGGTGGGAATCAGAAGGACTTAAGAAGACCCATCTTGCCAACATGAATTTTAAAAACCGAAGGGCACACAACACAGCTGAGCACCAGGAGGCGCACCCTACAGCCCTAGAGGACTGGAGCCCGGGAAGCCCCGACGGCCCTGGACGCGCACCCACGGGACCACAGAGCCTCGGCGGCGGAAGCCAAGCCGCTGCCACCAGGAGAGGCCGCCCCACAGTTGTGTGGCTGGGGGCTCGACGCTCCCTTCTCGGCAGAGCGGAGAGCTCCACAGAGGACGCGGGGCCCCGGGTCCCATGAGCGTCAACAGGACCTAATAGAGAAACGCACCCCCCCACCCCCCTCCCCTGGCAGCAAAAGGCACGGTTTCAAGCCCCGACAGACACTCGCCAAGACTGCCCGTGACCTGACCCACGAAGCGGAGGGTGGATCAGGGGGAGGCGTGCATCCTGGGGGGGGCGGGGAGCTCACAGTTCCATGGACCGTGTGCAGTCACCTGGCAGCGCAGCGGGTGTAACTGGGACAATAAAGCAGACATTGGTTGAGTGCCTACTGTTTACCAAGCACAGTGCCAGCACCTGCGGGTTAGCGTTGGTTTATGGGTCCACCTCCCTGGGTTGCAGAGTTCAGGCAGCCCCCACTCAATGCACACTGTGGTGGGGGACAGGGCCCCTCACGGCCGGCGGGGTGGCCGCCTGTCCCACTGCCTGAGGCCGCCCTTGTTCCCGGCGCAGGGTGGGGCCCCCAGGGGACCTGCCTGCTCGGACACACAGAGCTGCAGGCGGCCACGGGCAGGTGGCCCTCGCCCACTCACAGATAATGACACTCAGGGTCAGGAAAGGTCAGCAGCTTGGCGACCATCGGGACACAGGTCTGGAAACGAATCAGTACTTTGCGGTCACCCTTTCCTTTGGTTTAGTGTCTTCCCGTTGGTGCCCCAGCCGGACAGCGGGGGGCCTCGAGGCCTGAGTCCTCCCCGAGAGGCCCGTCCCGGCACACTCCCGCCCGGGGAGCGACTGCCCGTGAACTGGCTCTTCCAGCTGCACTTTGCCCCACATTTGGCCCGGAATGTTCCCTCCGAACTGAAATCCTGCAGTGTCCTGGGATTTGTGCGCCAGCCGGTGGCGCCGAGCTCCTCGCGGGCGGCATTGCCCCCTGGTGGCCAGCGGGGCTTGCTGCAGCGGGGCGGGGCCGCCCGTGCCAACCGCGCTGCGCTGTCGGCCGCCGGCCTGCAGGTGGCGCAGCAAATGGTCGCACGAGGGTCGTCATGATGCCAGGCGCCTGGGCTCTGGCGCGCGCTCACTCTGCGGCTGTGACAGGCCCCCCGAGCAGGCGCCCTTGTCACAGGAGAACATTCCCGGTGTTTTCCTGCAAGATCGTCCTGAGAATGAACTCCGCGTGCTGGGGATCCGCACGTAATCATTTCCCGTCATAGCTGGGTTTCCGAAGTGTCGATGGTCAGTCTGTCAGGAGAGTTGACAGGGTTTGTAGACCATCCGCATTTCGAACCTCGAAACGCTAAACTCGGTGAAAAGTGACGAACTGTCCTTTGTGGCAATGACCCCCCTAGAACAGGGGCGGACAAGCCTTTCGGAGTTCGGGGGGGGGGTGCGGAGGGTGCCGCACTGGCTTGCGTGGGGGAGGCCGGGACAGCCCCTCAGCGGCTGGTTCCAGAAGCTTCCCCTCCGAGTCCGAGGCGCTGGTTTGGACTGGCGTCTGGGTTTTACCAGGAGTGGGAGCGGGCGGGCGAAGGCGGGGAGCTCCGAGGGGGCGCAGCGTATCATCCGCGGTCCCTCCGCACAAGCCATCCTGGCGCTCAGATTCGAGGCACAAAGGAATTCCAGAAGCTACCACAAAACACACTTCCTCCCCGAGGGGATGGAAATGCCCCCTAATGGCTGTGGTGATGGCAGATGGCGGAAGCTACTAGAAACCATCCTATCTTACATCTTGAGGGGGTGACGTGGGTGCGGTGTGCGCTGTGTCTCCAGAACACGGTTGTCAGGGTGAAAACAAGAGACTCCAGACTCCTGGGGCACCCAGGCTGAGACCCGGCGCCCCCGCGAGGAGGGACCTGCCCCTCGCCCGTGGCACCGGGGGGATGTGGCCCTGCCTGTGGCCGCAGGCAGCTGTCTGGGACCCCGACAAAGCACCATCTCCGTCAAACAGTCTTACGGCTGGTGTTGATCCGCAGAAATGCGACCCGTCTGCTGATGCGGAGGCGGGAGGCCGGCGTCGGGCCCCTGCTCGGAGGCCCGGCCGAGCGGCGACGCGGCAGGACACGGGGGCACAGGCGGAGCCCCGGCCATAATGGGGGCTCTGAGCGGGCAGCCGGGGGTGCCAGAGACCTGGGCCGAGCTCCCCACATCGCCCGAGGTGAGGAAGTCCGCCTGGTGCCCGGGCGGGGGCCCCGCAAGGAAGAGCCCGACCCGCTTTAGCCTCCCTCGGTCCCTGGGAGTCTGGGGCGGGTTCTTGCCCAGGAGG